GCTATGGTAAACAGAGTAATGTAATTACCACTGAATGAAATTCTATGAAAATGTGTAATATAGGAGATTTTTCTCTTTTTTTCTAGAATTTTGTCCTTTTTGCCTTCTGTCTTTCAGATCCCTGATTTCTCCAAATGTTCCTATAGCAAGGGGACTCCACTGGGACACCACATCTAGCCTCCCATCTCCTGGAAGACAGCCCATCCTGGCAAAGAACACCCTAAGACTATTTTCTTTTTCCCGAAAAACAAAACCTCTGTATGAAGCATTTGTTCAGGGTCAGTTCAGCATTTTCTTATAAGATGAGGCATTAACCATTCAAGTCTTGGTTGTAATCCTTACAGAAACAGATGGCCAGATCTTTCTTCCACAGTGCTGTTGGGTGGGTTCAAATCTCCAACCTTTATGTTAAAAGTTGATCACAAACGATATTTGACTCCCAGACTGCAAGACGTTTCAACATTTTACATTTCATTTTCAGTAAGTAGAAGCATTTTCTCTCCCCAGTATCCTTCTGAAATCATGCACCATCCTTGTGTTTATAATCAAAACGAAACCAGCTCTACTGCTATGGAGTCAATTTCGACTGATAACAACCCTGTGGAACAGAGTAGGACTGCTCCATAAGGTTTCCAAGGCTTTGTCTCCATTATCGTTGTTTAACGCTGGCAAGTCGGTTTCCACTCATAGTGACTCTATAGTGTTTCTGAGGAGTTGCTAGTGGATTTGAACCATTGATCTTGTGGTTCAAACTGAACTTCCGGTCCAGTGCTTATCCTACAGTGACACACCAGAAGTCCTTGTCTCCATAGTGACTGTGATATATCTGATTTGGATTGGGGGTGAGAGAATAGAGGTCTGCAAAGGAGTTCTGGTAGGATAGTGGTTACTAGTCGTGCTGCTAACCTCAAGGTCAGCAGTTTGAAACTACCAGTCATTCCACAGGAGAAAGATGAGGCTTTCTGCTCCTGTAAAAATTTACAGCCTCAGAAACCCTATGCAGGGTTGCTATGAGTCAGAACCAACTCCATGGCACACCACCACCACCATCAATGTGCATTTGAACTGATTTGATGACTCTAAATTATATTCATACTTCACCCACCGGCTGTAATGTCCTAGATAGAAATGTTGGGGGTGAGTGTGTTAGAATTTCAGAATAAAGGCACCTGAAGGTCACCAAGTATAGATCTGTATGCATATATTAATTCACCCTAAAATATTACCTAATGAAAAATTAGCCTTTACTTGAGCACATCTACAAATGGGACACGTGTCTTTATATTTCCAACTATGTATCTTTGAGCAGGTATAATTATTAGAAAAAAAATTATTCTGTTGTGAAATATTCATTATTAAGAATGTCCACACATGTGCTGTCACCAAAGCTAAAGACCTTTCACCTTTACATCTTTTTTTAAAAAAAAAAACAAAAACATTTTCAATGTCTCTTTGAGTTGAATATTGGTTTCAATATTTATTATTTGAGGACAATAAGCACTGGAAGGCTAAATGACCTGCTCAGTGTCATATCTGTGGTTGATATGATGTTAATAGCTTCTATTCCAGTAGTATCATGTTTCCATTATAGTGCAGTGATTTAATTGGGCTATGAAGCAATAAAGCCATCCCTGTTTCATCTAGTAAAGAATATGCTGGGAAAGGAAGGGAAAAGAAGAATCATCAATTTCTTTAAATAAACAATGGATTGCAATTATCAGTAAACAGTTGTTGTTATTGTTAAGTGCCTTCCAGTTGGTTCTGACTCAGAATGACCCTCTAAAGGGTTTCAGTGTTGCTGCTGGTGGATTTTAGCTGCTAACCTTGAGATTACTAATCCAGTGCTACATAGCACCACACCAGGAATTTAGAGAGGTCTTTGTTGTTGTTGTTGTTGTTGTTAAGTGCTGTCAAATCAGTTCCAATTCACAGAGACACTGCATAGGGTTTCTGAGGAGCAGCTAGTGGGTTTGAACCATCAACCTTGTAGCTTGCAGTCCAGTGGTGATCCTATAGCACCACACCAGGGAGGGCAAATATTAACTTTAACTGCTAAATCCCAAAGCCTAGTATAGAACCTCAGGAAAAGTATGATTTTAAATACTGAAAGTGTGAATGAACTAAAAAATAACAAATTTACATTACAAAGGTACTTAGAGTTCTTATTGTCTACCATATTCATCTTATATATTAGGAAACTGAATTACTGATGGAATGATTTTGCCCACCATATTACTTCATGAAAACAGAGTCCTTTTTTACTGGGCATCCCAAGAATCCAATATCATATTGGAGGAATACAGTTTTGCAGAAGTATCAGATAATTTTCCCACATCATTGGATTCGACTCAGTGCCATTTTAAAGAAATGCCTTTAAAATGTGTCCTTTGCTTGACAGTGTTTCCTGACACCGCTCTCTGCCTTAGCACCAAGAGCTTTCCCTGAGAGACTCATTCCCTGGGCTTAAAGCTTTGCTCTTTCTGACGAGGTATATATGACACCTTATTAGCTGCTTTTACCAGATATTTTTTGCCTTCCTTGACTCTAGGGATCTAGTGCACCATTTAGATCTGGAAGCCCAGGGGTGTTTTCCAGGGAGGACAAGTCAAGGTGGGCATCTGGAGTTAACAGTATAACAAAGAGACTCGTTAGAAGTGATGGGGAGGGGCTGAAAGACATTGAAGAGAATGTGATAGCTTTTCTTCAAAGATGAACTTTGTCCTGTTGTGTAATTTTGCCAGTGACCTGCTTTGACTTCAAACTTCACTTTTTAATATCTTCTGGAAATCTTTGGGTCATAGTTTTGAAATAATTAGTAATAACGTATAAAATAGCAAATATGGCAATAGTATTGGAGAATTAGTATTGGAGTATTTCTGGGATTCTGAGATTTCAAATTATTCACCATATTCCCTGCCTGTATGTTTATGCCGCATTCAAAGATAAACTAAGCAATTACAATTTAACAGGATATTAACATAAAGCATTGCAAATGATTAGAAAACAGTTAAATAAAATGCACTTCTTCACAAGACCAGAAACAAATGTATAGACAATATCTTTAAAATCAGACAAAATAAAACTCATTTGCATTTTACTTTTTTTTTTTTCAGTATTTACCACAGAAATTTTATTAAGTGCTGCAAAACTCATTAAAAAAGTAAAAAATAAAACAGTGAAGGTAAAATGAAAACGAAAGGACATTTTTTTCTCATGCTTGCTCTGAATACTCATGTCTGTAGAGCTGTAGGATCAATACTGGACTGTGAACCATGGGGTTGGCAGTTCAAATCCACCAGCTGGTCCTTGGAAACCCTATACTGAGTTGCGATGAGTCGGAACTGACTCTAAGGCATTATATATATATGTCATTATAGAGTCCTGGTGTAGCACTGTAGGATAAACACTGGACTGCTAAACACAAGGTGGGTGGTTCAAACCCACGAGCAACTCCCTGGTAACCCTATACAGGCTCTCAATGAGTCAGAACCGACTGGACAGCACTTAACAACAATATATACCATTATAGAACAAAATTTCACCAAATCAAATAACATATCACCAAGAGCTCAATAAAATGTATTTTGTTTTTAAACACCAAATGCTGGGTTTAAATGAGCTTAATTTCTTTAAGGATAACGTGAAAGGAATTAGCACTTTAAGTTCTGATTGTGCCAACCCTACAACTGTTGTTACACTTGAGTCCACTGCTGGTGCCAGGGCCCATTGCTAACCTCCCTCAATGAATTTGCCTATGAGGTATATCAGGAATGGCTCTCTCATTTGTTTTAATTTTTACTAATGGAAACCTAAAAGAGCTCCAATCAGAAGTACACAGTTCTAATGTAACAACTACATAAAAGGACAGAACATTTCCAGCATTCCAGAAGCCTTTGTCCCATCATGCTTCCTACTTTTCCCTGTTTCTCCTTCAAAGATAATTGCTACATGGACTTCTAACATCATGAATTAAATTTTGTCTATTTGTGAATATCATTGAAATATATGAATACAGTATGAAGTATTCTCTTGTTGCATTTTTGAATGTCAAATTCCACTTCTTTGTGGTAGTAGATCATGATTTTTTTTCACCTTTTTAAGGCGTATCATTTAGATTAGAAAAAATACATATTTAGATTATGTCTGTAGATTCTTAAATTAGATTTCTGGGATTTCAAAATAATTTTTCAAATACACTTGTGAACTGGTTGATTTAACTTCTTAAATTCCTGTAATTGGATGAATCAACTCTGTACATCTCAATGCCAAGCCTCCATCTACTCATACCAATCTTCTTTTTTGCTAGTTATTATACTATCTATAAAATTCTGCAGCACAAGACCTTTTTAAAGTGTTGAAGAGCAAAGATGTCAGCTTGAAGACTAAGGTGCACCTGTCCCAAGTCATAGTATATTCAATAACTTCATATGCATCTGAAAGCTGGACAGTGAATAAGGAAGACCGTAGAAGAACTGTTTTTGAGTCATGGTGTTGGAGGAGAATATTGAAAGTGCCATGGGCTGCCAAAAGAACCAACAGATCTGTGTTGGAAGAAGTGCAGCCAGAGTGCTCCTTGGAGGCCAGGATGGCCAAACTTCGTCTCTCATATTCCGGACATATTGTCAGGAGGGACCAGTAGCTGGAGAAGGATATCATGTTTGGTAAGGTGGAGGGTCAGAAAAAAAGAGGAAGACCCCCCAGAGAGATGGATTGGCAAAGTGGCAGCATCGATGGGCTCAAGCATGGCAACAACAGTGAGGTTGGCCCAGGATTGGGCAGTGTTTCATTCTGTTGTGCATAGGGTTGCTGAGTGGGTACAGACTCAATGGCACCTAAAACAACAACATAAAATTCTATTGCATAAGAAAAAAGACACATACTCATTAGTGAGAATTAAAATCCCCTAGGGCTGAGGTGAAGCTGATATATCAGACATCTATACAGTTGATTGATTGACTTTTTTCTTTCCTATATTTAGGTAACTGAAGATAGAGGCCCTTCTAAAGTCAATGAATGAGACTAACTATTCTCGGGTGACCGAATTTGTGTTGCTGGGACTCTCTAGTTCTCAGGAGCTCCAACCTTTCTTGTTTGTCATATTTTCTGTTCTCTACCTAGCTATCCTGTCGGGCAACTTTCTTATTATTCTCACTGTGACCTCAGATGCTCGTCTTCATTCTCCCATGTACTTTCTGCTTGCAAACCTCTCTTTTATAGATGTATGTGTGGCTTCTTTTGCTACTCCCAAAATGCTTTCAGATTTTTGGGTTGAGCAAAAAACGATTTCTTTCGATGCCTGCCTCGCCCAGATTTTCTTTGTACATCTCTTTACGGGTAGCGAAATGGTGCTTCTTGTATCCATGGCTTATGACCGTTATGTTGCTATATGTAAGCCTCTTCACTATATGACAATCATGAGCCGTCGTGTGTGTGTTATTTTGGTCATCATCTCCTGGTGTGTTGGCTTTATCCATACTACCAGTCAGTTGGCATTTACTGTTAATTTGCCTTTTTGTGGTCCTAATGAGGTAGATAGTTTTTTCTGTGACCTCCCTCTAGTGACTAAGCTAGCCTGCATTGACACGTATGTGGTCAGTCTGCTGATAGTAGCAGACAGTGGCTTTCTTTCTTTGAGTTCCTTCCTCCTCTTGGTGGTCTCCTACAGTGTGATACTCATCACAGTGAGGACTCGCTCCTCGGCCAGCATGGCAAAGGCTCGCTCCACACTGACGGCCCACATCACTGTGGTCACACTGTTCTTTGGACCGTGCATCTTCATCTATGTGTGGCCCTTCAGCAGTTATTCAGTGGACAAAGTTCTTGCTGTGTTCTATACTATTTTTACTCCCATCTTAAACCCAGTCATCTACACTCTAAGAAACAAAGAGGTAAAGGCAGCTATGTCAAAACTGAAGAGTCGATATCTGAAGCCTGGCCAGGTTTCTGCAGTCATAAGAAATGTTCTTTTTCTGGGAACTAAGTAAAGTTGAAGGACTGTTAGCACTTTAGTTACTCTCTGGACTGTTACAAATGGAATCAATGTGATGTTAAAGTAAAGCACTTTAATTGATGGAAAGAATCGATTTGTTTGAATTAAAGAATAATCGTGATAATGAAAAGCACAATAAAGCTTAGCACTTTTAATCTTATTTTCTTCTGTTTTATTTATTTGTTGGACCTTTTAAAAATTCAAGATAGTTCTAAAATAGAGTGTTAATTGGCTTTGAGGTCAATGGGAAAATGACATTTACTCATAAAGCCTAAATCCATTGGCCCTTATGTGGGTAAAATGTATTGCTAGTATCCCAGCCAATAGAATGATTTTAACTTTCTAAAGTAAGAGCATACTTTTAGGATAGAATTGGTTTCAATGAGGAGAACATTGCAACAGCTCATTATTTTGCCTAGGCCTATGCCAACTCTCCTGCTTACAAAATAGTACTCATGAATAATGCACTGATACCCTTACTCAGTTATTGGGTGATTAAGAGGATTGTCAGCAGTTTTCAGTAAGATACTGCACCAAGTCTAGTCTACAATGAAAACTGCTTTGATAATCAGACTAAATAAACCATGGCATTCAATTAAATGGAGACCTTCATTATAAATGTGGACCTTGTGTGTGTTCTATATTGAGGTAAATATTTAAGTAATGATGCTAGCTCCTGGAGTCCTGGTATGGCACTGGAGGAGAAGCACTAGACTACTTACTAACAACACATTTGGCAGTTGAAATATACCAGGCAGTCCTTGGAAACTCTATATAGGGTCACTAGGGGTTGGAAAGGTCTCAACAGCACTTAACAGCAAACAACAATTCTAAGTTCTGTGATTTTGGAGGAAAGTCGTGTCTTTTGAAGAAGAGAGGTGCCTTCTGCTTGAAAAACAAACTCCTCACACACTAATGAGCTTTAGAATGACTGAGCCTTTGATCATAGGTTACCAAGTGACTATGTGACTAGGACTGCCCATCATTTAGCAAGTCACAATTTCTAACAATAAAAATACCAAGTTACCTAATTTACAAGTAGAACATCTGGGACAAATTTAAGCAAGTCCAAAAACCTGTGTGCACACACACTCACACACACATACACCTCCCCCCCCCACACACACACAAATACATAAACAGATATATGTACCTACTTTGGTTGTATCTAAGACCTTTCCTTTAGTTCAATGTTATAGGCTCACAGGGGGGTTACCTTGACCAGCTGAAGAAAGAAGAAAATAGATAGGAACTTTACATATCTTGATACATGCAAAAAAATGGGTCGCAGCTACATTACAACCCTTCTTGGGGTGATCCAAAAAACACTAGTAAGAAGAAAGACTCTTGGTGCAACAGCCTTCAATATTTTCCTTAGTTACCAACTTTGGATGCAGAATTGATATTAGGTAAAAATAAAACTGAATTTTGGACAGTGGAAAATGGCTTGGCTGGTTTATTACAGGACTCAGGAAAACATTAGAAAATGTTACTGGAAAATGGTGTTTGAAAGTCAAGATTTGGGTACCATGAGTGCAAATTGCTCAACAGACAAAGTTATGTAGTAAAGGTGTGTGTACCAACCCATGTATATATATATACATACATGGGCATTATTCATTCTGTATCTATGTATCCATTTTCATGTGTATTAAGCTAAATATGAGTTCATACTTATGTCACTGACCCTAATCTGGTTGTTGTTGATTGCTGTCTAATTGATTCCAACTCATAGCAACCCTGTACAGGGATTCTGAGGATCCGCTGGTGGGTTTGAAATCCTCACCTTCTGGGTTAACAGTCAAGTGCCACACCAGGACTCCTCAAATCTAACAGTTCTGGTTTTATTTTAGCTTTCCTTTCTAGTTCATTTGTAACTTAGCTCACTGACAGTGAAAAGCCTGACTTAACTATCTGCCATCCATGTATATATTGGTTCAACCCCAGAATACATACAAAGTAGTTTTTGATCTATACCCTTTTAGTAGGAATTGACAATGCATAATAACGTTCCATAGTTGGACTCCCTTCAGTGCAGTTCCGTCACACATTTTAAATACAGTCAGATGTGGTTGTCAGATTCTGTATTGCATCCAGAATGCTTAACACTCTGGGTGATGTTTTGCTGTTTATTTATCTGTGTGTTTGATTAAATTTGTAAACATTCAAGCTAAATCCTCTTAATGTACATTTCTGTCTTTTAACAAATGCATACAGTTATATATCCACCAGTCCTGTACTATGATCAAAAATATGACAATTTCTTTTAATGCAAAGTGTTCAAAAAAAAAAAGCAAAGAAAAATTTAAATGCTATCCTGCTTTTACCCTTATATGTAGCAAATAATGTTTGTTTGTTTTTACTACAGCTACTTGAAAACTTTAATATATGTATATATATAATAGTACTGTTATAGTTGAAGTTCCCTTCATATACTTCTTGAATTTTCTTCCAAGACTTTAGAGTTTTGTATGCATTCCTCACCTGAATTGTATAGAATCTTTTATTTCATCAGTATGCATCTATATTTTCAAAGTCTATGAAAATGTGATCATACTTGAGCCATTCTTCAATTTATTGTTTTCTTCATTGTGTTTTTAAAATTTCAAAATGTTCTCACATAAAATCCGTTAATTAATTTAAGTATTGATTAATATGCCATTGTATTTTTCAATAACCTCATATTCATGTGAAAGCTGGACAGTTAATAACGAAGACCTTAGAATAATTGATGCATTTTAGTTATGGTTTTTCAGGAAAATATTAAAAGTACTATTAACTGCCAAAGGAACAAACCAGTCTGTGTTGGAAGAAGAACAGCCAGAATGCTCCTTGGAAACCAGAATGGCGAGACTTCGTCTTTCATGCTTAGGACATATTATCAGGAGGGACAAGTCCGTGGAGAAGAACATCATGTTTGGTAAAGTGGAAAGTTGGGGAAAAAGAGGAAGACATAGTGGCAGCAGCAATGAGCTCATAGCAATGATTGTGAGGTTGGCTCAGGACTACACAATGTTTCATTAGGTTGTGCATAGGGTCGCTATGAGTGGATACTGACTCGATGGCACCTACCAACAAAAAATATGCCATTGTATTAAAGTATTGTAATTTACTTTTACATATGCCAATCTATAGACCCTTTGGTTGTTTCTATTAACTTTCTCAGCCAAATAATGTTGCAAAAACTTTTACTAGGGTATATTCAAAAAACTGAGTTTGTTTAGTGGTACAAAATCATAACTTCAAATTCTTTAAAGATTATCATTTAATACTTACATAAAAATCTCCAAATATAGTCAAATATGTAGCTCCCATAAAACATGGTTCAAAGTCTACTTTAACAAATTTAAACTTTTTCCCCTGAAAAATTAGAAGACTTGTCATTGAGAGAAAATGGGAGCACTTACAAATATTTGAAGAGGGAGTAAATTTGTTCTATCAAAGAATATATGGTAGAACCATTTGAGTGTTCACACAGTAGATGAAACTTTCAGTTGGAGAAAACCACCCTGAGTTCATGTGATCAAATGTAAGATTGTATGTAGCTTTATTGACAAAAAGTTGGGGGATTGAAAAAATTGTTTTGCTCCACTTTGATCAGGATCACAATAGAAGGTCCTAGACAGGGAGAGAAAAATTAAAAGTAGAACAAAATTCGAAATCATAAAAAAGATCAGAGTTCCTGATCTGATAGATTGGTGGAATTCCTGGGACTATTTGTCTTTGCTGCACTTCATGCTTGGAACTGAAGCCCTTCCTCCAGGGATTGACTTTTATCTATATAGGACTCTAAAGTGAGTAATAACACCAGAAAGGGCCGTACTCTTCATTACAATCATCCACAGAGACCAGGAAGGCAGCATTTGCCCCAAAACAAAGCTCATAAGGCAGGAGAGAGCAGGAAATGAAGAGGAATATAAATGTAGAACCCAAGGAGGAAGTGGGGAAGAATGCTGTCACATTGACGGAATTACAACCAATGTCAAGAAACAAAGTATGTATAAATTGCTGAATGATAAACTAATTTACTCTGTAAATTTTTACCTAAACTACAATAAAAAGTTTTTAAAAATTACTTTGATGAGTAGGGATCTGAGTGGAAATCAAAGTCTGTTGCTTTGAAATGTGCAATAAAAAGTTATTGTTTTGCTTTTTTGTTCCCATAACTGCAAAAAAATTATTGTTTAAAACATAATTACTCCCACTCTAGGGTGGCTTCACAGATCTCTAAAGAGTGACTCTTTGCATCTCTGATGATGTCAGTTTCCTGGCTGTATATTGTACGGTTGAAGTCAAAAGGAACAGAGAACTAATTACCACAGGGCTGGACCTAAGGGCTTACTTTAGCACATTTTAGTTCAAGGGACCAGGTTAAAATGATCAATTATATATAGCAAATACTTTGTCGGAAAACTCACAGACAAATGAAGAGTTTAGAAGAGTTAGAGAAAGTTAGGATTACACATGTAAGTATTACAAATGTTTTGAAGTTATCTTCTTAGAATAAAGAAATCATGAGTAAGCTGTCTTCCAGATTCAAAATTGACAACTAGAAGTCAACAAAGGGGAGGTCAGCTTTTTGTCTGAGTTAAGCTGGAAACCGCTTGAAAGAGATAAAATTCCTGTTCTTCTCTTCTCTATCTATATGACTCCCTTGCTGCAGTGATTGAAAGGCAGCCCTGTTAGGAATAACATCAGAATCTGATGAATTGACAGAAGAGTGTTACAACCAACTTATATCTCCTCTCTGCTCTCACTTTTGCCTCTTATTCAGAGGATATTTAGTTACTATTAAACAACTATGTATTAGCTATCAGAAGTTACCTGGAATGAAGAAAGGAGTAGCTACATAAAGTACAATAATGGTTAATACAATGTTCTTTATTGTTTCTTGTTCCTAGCATTTGAGAAATCAAGTCTTATAATACTAAATTAACTACAAGGAAAATGATGCAAGTTTATGGTTTCAGAGTTCTACAGATATATTTAGAAATG